GTCGTTTTGTCTCCGAACTTGTAAATGTAAATTATTTCCAACTCAAATCACTCCAAAAAAACCACACTACCACCGAATACCCATGCAAGCGTAAATTAACACGAATATAAAATCTAAATGATTTCAAGATCAAGCTATTTCAGTCTCTTTCTGCCGTTTGAAAAATAATTAGTCAGTCGTTTGCTTGTAAATTTCGAGAGAAAAAAATTGTAACTGAACCAGTCTGACTAGAGCCAGCCCGAACTATCAATTTGCGTTTATAGACGCATTTGGATACTTGGAGCTGGCTTTAATCAGACTGTAACGGGACCTGAATTTTTTTTATTTTATTTTTGCCGAATCAAGTTCCCATGTATTTCTCAGCCTACGTTAACTTTCTCAGGCCTCATTCCGATGTTGCTGTCTGCCCTGTGTAGACTTGGTCTATAGGGTTACAAAGCTAGCACTTTATTTTTAAAATGTTTCCGAAACTATATCGGATTTACTCTGTATAAACCAATGATTTTCAGAGACTGTTTACACTTGGAACATAGGGAAAGTTATTCGGCAAAATAAGCAAGTTAAACCACGTTTTTTACATTCCATACTAACAAACTATTTTCTGTATGAGTATCAAAGTCTGCTTATATTGTGCTTTTTCGCCTAATTCTATCCGTATTCTCATTCCGATAAATTTCCTTGTTCCATTTTGCCGGAGCGGTGTTTTTGACGACCATTTTAACATGAATTAATAGTTGTTTTTTCACACATCATCCCAAGTGTCTATAGATTAGATTTCGACTTTCAAAACAAAATTTCATGGCGATACGGCGCGCATCATGAATAAGTATTTATTGCAAAAATAAACCAAGAATAAAATAAAGTGTTAAAACTCAGTCTGTTATGCATAAAAAAAAAATATAAGATAAATCGTGCAGATGCTTAAATATTAAAGAAACACAATATTTAAAAGTAAAGTAATACATTTTTAAAGGTTAACAATGAGCAGAAGAATTGCCGGAAAACGATAAAGCAATCTATGTCAAATAAGTTAACCGTTACGTATTGCATCAAAAACTCTCAGCACTCTACATCTAGGGAAAGTTACCGTTAAAAATGTCACATAATGAATTACCAAAAATATTTCTTTTATTATTTAATCACTTTGTGATTGCAGAACCTGCTGCATTGGCTTGTATGTGTGAACGTTATTCGATAACGTCAGGAACGATAACTCGTGGCGTAACGTCATTCGGTATCGTGTTACCTTAAACATGTAAGTCTTGAAATAAAAGCGATTTCAAAATTGATCAACCTTAATGAAAGGTTTACAATTGCAATGTCGTTAAACACGTTATAGAGTATATGTTTAGTTGGTTCGTTGTATAGTATATGTTCAGTTGGTCGTTAAAGGGTATATGTTTAGTTGGTCGTTATTGAGTATATGTCTGGTTGGTCGTTATAGAATATATGTTTGGTTGGTCGTTATAGAGTATATGTTTGGTTGGTCGTTATACACGTTATAGAGTATATGTTTGGTTGGTCGTTATAGAGTATACATGTAAGTTTAATTGGTCGTTATATGGTATATGTTTGGTTGGTCGTTACAGAGTATATGTTCGGTTGGTCGTTATAGAGTATATGTTTGATCGGTCGTTATAGAGTATATGTTTGGTTGGTCGTTATAGAGTATATATTTTGTTGGTCGTTATAGGGTATATGTTTGGTTGGTCGTTATAGAGAATATGTTTGGTTGGTTGTTATAGAGAATATGTTTGGTTGGTTGTTATGGAATAAATGTTTGGTTGGTCGTTATAAAGTATATGTTTAGTTGGTCGTTATACATGTTAAAGAGTATATATGTTTGCTTGGTCGTTATAGAGTATACGTTTGGTTGTTCGTTATATGGTATATGTTTGGTTGGTCGTTATAGAGTGTATGTTTGGTTGGTCGTTACAGAGTTTATGTTTGGTTGGTCGTTAAAGAGTATATGTTTGGTTGGTCGTTAAAGAGAATATTTTTGGTTGTTCGTTATATGGTATATGTTTGGTTGGTCGTTATAGGGTATATGTTTGGTTGGTCGATATAGAGTTTATGTTTGGTTGGTCGTTAAAGAGTAAATGTTTGGTTGGTCGTTATAGAGTATATTTTTGGTTGGTCGTTATAGAGTAAATGTGTGGTTGGTTGTAATAGAGTATATGTTTAGTTGGTCGTTATAGGGTTTATGTTTGGTTGGTCGTTATAGAGAATATTTTTGGTTGTTCGTTATATGGTATATGTTTGGTTGGTCGTTATAGGGTATATGTTTGGTTGGTCGTCATAGGGTATATGTTTGGTTGGTCGTTATAGAATGTATGTTTGGTTGGTTGTTATAGAGTAAATGTTTGGTTGGTCTTTATAGAGTATATGTTTGGTTGGTCGTTAAAGGGTATATGTTTGGTTGGTTGTTATAGAGTATATGTTTGGTTGGTCGTTATAGAGTAAATGTTTGGTTGGTTGTAATAGAGTATATGTTTAGTTGGTCGTTAAAGGGTATATGTTTGTTTGGTCGTTATAGAAAATATTTTTGGTTGGTCGTTATAGAGTATATGTTTGGTTGGTCGTAATAGAGAATATTTTTGGTTGGTCGTCATAGGGTATATGTTTGGTTGGTAGTTATAGAGTATATGTTTGGTTGGTCGTTTTAGAGTATATGTTTGGTTGGTCGTAATAGAGAATATGTTTGGTTGGTCGTTATAGTGTATATGTTTGTTTGGTCGTTATAGAGTATATGTTTGGTTGGTCGTTATAGAGTATATGTTTGGTTGGTCGTTATAGAGAATATTTTTGGTTGGTCGTTATAGGGTATATGTTTGGTTGGACATCATAGAGTATATGTTTGGTTGGTCGTTATACACGTTATAGGTTGCACTTTGTAAATACAGATGTTTCTCAAACCACGCCTCTTTTGGAGAGATATATTATATTCATAGATAATTTGATTTGTTGACATACTGGTTTCAAGATATGATCTCTATGTTTCAACTCTTAGAGACATAACTTGGGACTGTTACCAGTATAAAAACGTACTGTTACGGTGAAAAATTAATTCTGAAGTCGACAAAAAGTAAAGGTAGGGGTAGTACACAATTTTAGTATAAGTTTAAACTCTAACAAGTTGAGGGCATGTAAATGTTGAAAATATGCCGCACAACCCTATACTTTGACCTTTGAATAAAATTGTAGTGCATATCAACTTTCCATTCTAGGATATAATTTATCACGAAACTTAATAGTAAAAGTGTCACAGTTTTAGCCGCAAAGGGAGTTCCTATGGAAAATTGCATTGTCTATATTTACAGAAATGCAACCTATATTTGGTTAAAAAAGAGAACATACAGAATTTCACAAAATCTGGTTTATATCAGAGATTTTACAGAAATTAACTCAAATATAAAGTTTTATAAATATTTCATGAAGATTGAGAAAATCCTGGGCCTTAACTATGATGACTCGGTAAACATTCACAGTTTACAGTATGCATAGTTTACTTTAAGCCCTAAATTCAAAATAAATTCATAATATATGCATATTTGTAATTTACATTGTTTAGAAATGCTTATATTTGCACTTCGAAGTCATTGAAACTCATTGATCCTTTCTGAATATTATTGGTGGGGTGTTTTTGTCCTGTCGATAACCCAAAAGTAAGGCGTAACACCTAAATGTGCTTTTTTGTGACCGCGACATAAAAAACACAAGCTAGAAATACAAAAAAAAACCATAAAACTTACTATAGTGTGTTCTATCCATAATATGTACTAAATATTAAACATTTCTAGAAACAGAAGAATAATTTAGGAAATTTGAGGCCCTAGGGGAAAAAATAGAGAAAAAATGCCTACCCCTTGGGTCATAAAACAGATGATTTAACTTGTTAATGCTATGATTTTATTATTTTAAAGGTCTTTTGTATAGAAAACAATAAATGTGCTTTAAAGGTATGCAAAAATCAGATGTAAGCATTCATTTCTATAAAACTTTTATTGAATTCATACACCAGACTGGTATCTTCATACATATAACTTTTGCAAATATGGCTTTGTTTAAACACTTCTAGTTCATATACAATGTATTAGCTAAGTAATGTTAGCTATATGGTTAGAGATGATACTGTTGTGACAAGAATTCTAAACTGGCCATTTGAGGCAGAAATTGTGAACTTTCATTGTCAAATAGGCATACAGTAAGATGTTGAAACTTAGAGTATATGCAAGGATTTCTTTAAGGTTGTAATAGTGATAAATAAGTATTGTTGTGAGAAAAGGTGTTTTTAGAGAGTTTTCTATTTGAATAGATGTTAGTATAGGTTGCACTTTGTAAATACAGCTGTTTCTCAAACCACGCTTCTTTTTGGGAGATATATAATATTCATAGATAATTTGATTTGTTGACATACTGGTTCCCAGATATGATCTCTATGTTTCAACTCATAGAGACATAACTTGGGAATGTAAACAGTATAAAACATAATATTCCGGTGAAAAATTAATTCTGAAGTAGGCAAAAAGTAAAGGTAGGGATAGTACATAATTTTAGTATAAGTTTAAATTCTAACAAGTTCTATGTTTTGACCTTTGAATAAAATAGTAGTGCGTATCAACTTTCCATTCTAGGATATAATTTTTCACGAAACTTCATAGTAAAAGTGTAACAGTTTTAGCCGCAAAGGGAGTTCCTATGGGAAATTGCATTGTCTATATTAACAGAAATGCAACCTATAGATTATATGTTTAGTTGGTCGTTATAGAGTATATGTTTGGTTGGTCTTTATAGGGTATATGTTTTGTTGGTCGTTATTGGGTATACTTTTGGTTGGTCGTTATAGAGTATATGTTTGGTTGGTCGTTACAGAGTATATGTTTTGTTGGTCGTTACAGAGTATATGTTTGGTTTGTTGTTATAGGGTATATATTTGGTTGGTCGTTTTTGAGTATATGTTTGGTTGGGACAAACAATATCTCGTACATAAAATCACCTACAGACCTTTAATTGAATAATTTTGTATATCAGTTTTGTTTGTTTAATTTTTTTCTTGCTTTTGGTGCACTTATTTTAAAAACACACTTCTTACTGTACGCATAATGCTTAAAAAGTAACCTCTCATACATAACATAAACCAAAAACATCTATTATGTATATAACAATGTTAATGTTTGTAATTATAGTTTGTTGTTACGGGTTTGCTGCCTATGTGCATGTCAAGGAAGAGGATAGGAAGCTGGAGAAGACTAGTAGGGTTTTTAGATAAGGAAGAAATATAATTTATTATCTTTTAAAAAGAACAAAAACTTCAGCTATAGTTGATAGGTATAAGAATCAGCAATTAATTATTTTTATGGAATCGTCTTCTATTATGTTTCAATTCCTGATTGTGATTTTAGTATTCAGATATAGATTCAGTTTGTTAGTGAAAGGAGGGGAACTTAACAATTTAAAAAAATCATATTAATTTAATAAATACAATTTTATTTTATGTACATTGCATATATATTTATGTTTTCAATGGGCTTTTTTATTCAGAGAACTGGTTTTATGGTGTGTAGCATAATAGGGGCATCAGTTTTTGTTCCAACTATGTTCAGTCTTGGAGTAGTAGGTTCAGTTATTGTAAGTAATACAGTTGCATATCAATTTACAAATGTTAAATATATATATATATATATATATATATATATATATAGGTAAACAAATTGCGCACTATCGATATCAAAGTTGATCATAATAAAAATGTCAAGCTTGAACGCTAGCATTATATACCTTTATTCAAATACTTGGTCTGTCAAGGAAATTTCATCATTTACGCGTTTTGCTTTCATTTTAGGTCTGCTTGGGTTTAAATGTACCAAAGGTATAACTAGCACTGTAGCTAGTACTTATGCACTGGCATAAAAAATGAATATTGTTGTTTAAATTTGATATGACAAAGTTTTGGAAGTTATTTTAAATTAAGAAATATATCTCCATCATGCAAAACTCTGATAACTTGCCCGACTTAAGCTATACTTTCTGTTCTTTTTTGGTGTAAAAGTTTCTAATTTTTCTAATATGTTTTGGATTTTCAAGTATTTTGACATTAGTACACTGAAGATGCATTTCTTGTCGAAATGCACATCTGGTGCAGAATAACTTGTACCGTTTATATTATTTCAAACATTCTGTATATTTGTTTACCAAACTGTTATATTCAATCATCGTATAAGATGAATACAAAAAATAAGTTGTGATTGCTAGTGATTATTCCAGAGACATAAATTGTACACACGGAATCGCTCTTTAACGGTATTATATTTATAAAAAAAAAATCAAAATGACCACTTTCTATACGTTATATGATCTTGATTGCTTAATTGATTGAGATGTAAAAAAACAAGCATCAAGAAACATCACACAAGTATATGTGGAGGATACCTTACATATAGGGATAAAAGGGAGAAACCGGCAGTTGTAAACATGGTAAAAAACGGAGGACCTGCGACCGCAGTTATGCATATATCACATCACCACAAAGGCGTATTTTTAAAAACAGATAAAGCACCAATATCATACGAGAAACAGACCACAGAAGCAATTTTTATGATTGACGAAGGTGCCCAACGTTCATTTGTTACCCAGAACATAGCTAATAAATTACAAATAGTGACACAATTGAACTGTCGGCTTTATGAGACAAAGAGAAGAATATACGACATTTTGATATATCAACCGTTCAAATAAAAACTGACAAAGGTTAAATTGTAAATATCAATTCATAGAATGTTCAAGATGTAGCAGTCCCACTTCAAATCAGATGAAAAACGAATTCTGTCATAATTGAAAGATTTAAAACTCGCAGATTCTGTAAACATTGGTGCTAGCTTTAAAAGATCACTCTTGATAGGAGCAGACTGTTATTGGGATATAGTACAATATCATGTAATCAGGACCTACAGCCGTTGCATCAAAAATTGGATACTTGCTATCTGGACCAGTAATAAGAAATGGAAAGAACTAATTAATATCATCCATACTTTTACATGTAAGTTTACCACAACACGCAGAGGAAAGCGAAATAGTAAGTTCTGGTGGAATCTAGAACCATTAGGAAAACGTTTACCAGAAACTGATGATGAGGAGAGATTAACCAAGACTTGTCAAAAAGTAAAATCACAAAAAATAATAAACTCCGAGGACAATTCAAACCGGAAAGTTCGTAATCAAACGGCAAAATCAAGAACTCAAACATATCAAACAAGTGGATAATAATTTTCATATTCCTGACTTGGTAAGGCATTTTCTAATCTAGGCAATGGTGGTTAAACCTGGTTTTATAGCTAGCTAAAACTCTCACTTGTATGACAGTTGCATAAAATTCCATTATATTGACAACGATATGTTAACAAAACAAACAGACATAATAGATAAAAATGTCAAAAATAGGGGTATAGCAGTCAACATTGTGTTATAATCTAATCACTATTATGCAACAAAGAAACACAAAGAGCATATATACAAAGCACATTAGCAAAAATGAAGGACAAGGATACAAAAATTCACCATAGCACAATAACACAATGACGGGATGTATAAGTACAGAGCCACGTCATATTTAACAACAAAACACAACAAGGCATATAGACAAAGCACATTTATAAGCAAAAAAGAAAGACAAGGATACAATTTTGTTACCATAGAACAATAACACAATGACGGGATGTATAAGTACAGAGCCAAGTCGAATGGATTTCACTGAAAACGTAATTATCAGTAAAAGTAATATTCATAAATAGAAATAAAATATACTTTAAATTATTCAGATGATAAACAACGTCAGTACCAAGAATCTATACTTCAAGACCATCATGCATTATTTGTGAATTTGATACGGAATATTTATCAACAAGGTCTTGGTACCTTCCGATGAACTGTTTTAGTAAAAGGATGAGACCTCTGACAGATAACTATATAAACATCGACATCGACAAGAATTCGACCAAAAACGAAATGCAGCTGTGCGAACTCAAGAGAACATTCGAAATATACTACCGAATGGTGACCTACTAGCCGACTCTTATGTTTATTTCAATAGACTTCGTTAAAAGTGAAAGTCGATAATTAGTGAATGATTTGCTTCTTTTAGAAAGACGTTTAATTTTTTTATTTTTCAGAACTATTTATTCGATATACATTTTTACTAATTGATGTTTTATATTTGAAAATTTGCCGGCCCCGAGAATATCGGAAATTTAGCGCAATTTCATACATGTAAACATTGTTAACTGACAAGTATGTATTATGACGATACACTAATATAGTAGTATAGTAGTTGCTGGACGTTGGATCTATACAAAACGCTTTAATCTACTGTACCTTTCAGGAAGCCGGATTGGCCAATAATCGAACTTAATATTTCAAAAAAAAATTAATCCTGTTTTTGTGTTACACAAAAAGTTTAATTTGATTTATCATAGAGTAATATTCAATTTTCTATTGATACATGACAACAATTACCGTTTGTTTATTGCTCTTTACTTTTTATACGTCTAATCATATGACATATTTACATCACGTGCTACATATACGTCATCTTTCATTCGGCCCAATAATGTAAGATCTGCAAATATATGGTAGCAATGTTCTGTTCTCCTCTTATCAACCGCTCAGTCAGCTTAGCTTTATAAAATGATTTTTTTTTGTCATGCAGGGTTGCCTGCCACAATGCCAAAGAAGAATTTTTTCGAAGAAAAAAAATGCCATCGCAAATTGGTAGATCTAACTTTTTTGTACTGAATTAAAGTTGAAGCACGTGTGTATATAATAAAAAAAAAAAAAAAATGTCTTGTCATTTTCAGTTTGCTTATTTTCTTCGAATTGATCACTTACACAATATTTCAGAGAAGAAATCATGGTTCTAAAGCTGTGACCTTGTCAGCATTTATGGCTGTATTGTCCTTTGCAGAAGTAGTTGTCGCAATCATTGCTGCTGCATTATGTTGTTGCTGCACCTCATGGGGGACATCAAATCAGCAGGTAAATGTTGCTCCAAAGCATCGACTTTCTCCATCACCACCTGTACATCAATATGTCGCACAACGGGATCAAAGGATTTGTTGTTTTGAAGTTGCAACCAATACCCACGTTGTCGACTCAGTGTTATACAAGTCTTTCTCTGCTTAAATAAACTCGTAATAACATCCGTAAACTAAGTCGTCTTCAGAAAGTATCAATATCATATCTTCGGATACGACTGGACGGCCCATAAACTGCAATTTGATACTATTATACTGGACTTTTAAATTAGTCCTACAAAATATTTTTTATCGATACAGTTATACGAAATATGCTGGTATCTAAAGTCATATTTATATGTCAGTTGTAATTCCGTAAGAAGGTAGTAGGGACATTAACTATAAATTGTTACTCAGAATAACTTTCTTCCCAAAAGTTGTTCATGCTTATATCCAGTAAGGACCATAACAAGTAAAATCACTCCGAGGAAAATTCAATCGTTAAGTCCCTAATCACATGGCAAAATGAAATGACAAAACACATCAAATGAATGGACAACAACTGTCCAACAACAACATAACAGACATACAATGTACTGTCAGTATATATGCATATCATTCATTGGAATATAAATCGCAGTTTGTATTTTCTATTCTTTAAATACAGAGAGGATTTTTTCTTTTTTACTTGTAGTAATGAATAAACTGGAACGAAAATCTGTTTTTTTTTTAAAGTGTAACCACTATTTCTTAAGATAAAATAAAACATTATTCCTATCTAGAAATACTTGCAATTTCTTTTTTCAACAGGGAGTTGTTTTTATGAACGCCACACAACCTGGAGTGATCCTACCACACACTCAAATCCCCATGACAACCGGTCACCAGGTCATGATAGCTACTGGACAAACAAATAACCCAGTAGTGCAGTATTATCCCAGGGCGCAACAGTATCAAGTCTTGACTACAACTCAACCGACAGTAGCACAGATTCAATCTTTTGGTGGTACGCAACAAGAACCAAATAATACACAAGTGTATGATACCAATCCGCCAGTCTATAAAGAATAAATGAGATATAATCATCCTTTACATATGGTTGCGTTTGTTTTATAAAAATCAAAGACCATTCTTGTGTGATAAAATAACGGATACTTGTAGTGCAATTATAGACACACGAGAATGAACATATAAATACGTAATAACAGCTGAACACAAGTTAAAGTTGTAATATGTAATTCATGTTACACGAAACTGAATGTAATGAAAGGTTTTACTTTGTAATTTGTTTAAAAAAAAACCTTACCAAACATGATAATCTTCCCACACAACTGTTTTAGTTGTTCCATTTTCAAGATCTGAATGAATCTCTATAAAGATCTATTTTCATATAAAGGTGGTATCAAACACCTTGACTAAAATTAATTCGGCTCGTTTAATTGACGTAATACTTCCTTTGACCCTTTGAGAAAAATATGAACATTTAAAAAAAACTTGATCTAAACACTTAATATTTCATTTTATATATAGCAGTTTGACATACACTAGTTTTGGTAATTTAGAAGCTCTATATTTCCTTAACATAAGGACATGAATAAAACGTTCAACTAATTTGTACAGAATTATCTCCCTGTAGTGTTATGTACCACTTTAATCTGATTATCATATGTTGTAAATACTCATTGCTTGTTAATATCATTTATATGTTAGCCTTTGTTTGTGTATTAAACATGTTAAAATCATCAAAAACTCACCATCTAAACACAACACAAGTTAACAAAAGTAAAAATGAAAATCTTAATATCATAAATAAAAAAAGCCTATTCAATCCTTTCATTTACAATGACATTGACACTTTTTTTTACTACAATCATGAGGAATACAAACACCCATTGGCTTTTTAAAATGGAAATCAAATTTGACACTAAAAAATACTAACCCTGCATATGAAAAAAAAAACTCTCTTAGATACCAGGATTGAGATTTTGTATTTGCGCTAGACGCGCGTTTCGTCTACAAAAGACTCATCATGGACGCTTGAATCAAAAAAAGTTTAAAAGGCCAAAAAAAGTAAGAAAAATTTACATTTATATTTATATTCTAGATGATGATCAATATAAAATATTTAGATGGAAACTGCTGCATTACAAACTTCCATGTAAAACTATTTAAACAATGGCATATACTAGACACAGATACATGTTCACACTGTAAAGAATCACACGATTTTGATCACTTTCATCTAAAATGCTTATATTTTGAATTCCTCTGGAAGGAAGTACAACAAATTCTCGAGAAGGTAAATTGGAAGGCATGCTGTTTATCTGAAAAGTAGAGTATTATGAAATAAATTAACTTTTAACCATAATAAGTTACACTATATATATAAGAAAACTATCAACCAATAAAAAATAGTGTCACTATAGTTAGATAGGAAAATAGAAATTATATTGAAACAAGAAATTTTTGAGAATACACAATTGGTTATTTTTAAAGAATGTTACTAGTTAAGAATTTAAAAAAATATGAGGAAAGTGATTTTTTTTACCTTTACACATCCAGTTGGAAAGATGCGTGGTTCCGTCTTCAGGTGAATCCTCCTTCCTCGGCTGTTTTGGCGCTGTCCACTACAACCTCCAGAGGTGCGCCGACTGTTGTGATCAATCCCAGCTCGAAACCACTTGGCTATCTATCCCTGCCTCTACACTTTACCGCTCCCACTGCTCAGACCTTTTCTTTCACAACCACATTGATGATGTCCCTGCCTCTTTGCACAAGTTACCAATCAGCTTACCTCTTTCCTCTCCAACAATACCAAGCACTCTTAATGCCCTCCACATAGACTTTCCAACAAACCCTCTGCTTCCCAATTCCACTGGAAATAACCAAACCCTCCATCCATTGTCTCTACATTCTGCAAGTAAGTCTTGATACCTTAATCTCTTTCTTTCGTGGCATCTTCTATTCGTTCTTCCCGTGGCACGGTTAGTTCCAGCAGGATTGCCTGTTTTGTTGAGGCTGACCAAATGACGATGTCAGGTATCTGGTTTGTTGCTGCAATCTGTGGCGGGAATTGTAACTTCTGCTTCAGATCCACCAACATTTGCAATTCGGTTGCTGGTCCCAGTAAACCACTTCCTTGCACACGTTTCGTAAGTCCCTTCTCTCCTTCCTTAATATAATTTACAAAGGTAAGGCCTTCCTTGTTCTTTCTGGGCTTCCTGATGTTTCTCTCTAGGGTGTCTACTTATTTCCCTCATACCTTGTTGTATCGCCATGTATACCTTCCATCTTTCAAAGCACTCGAGCATGGAGATAGTAAATGCTCCAAATATGCTGGCCTACTGTAAAGAACACACTTTGGGTCATCTATCAATCCCAACGTTGCTAGATTTTTTGGGCTTGTCAATACATTATATACCAACTTCAGCTTGAAATGCAACCTAAGTGGCTCCATCTTCCAGATCTCATTCCATCCTAATTTCACCTGCCTTGTTCCTTTCCAGTTTAACCAGATTCCTTGTTTCTTCATACTCACTGCCTTTACTGTTCTACTTTCCTCTTCCATTGTTCGTACCACTTTCTGTACAAGGTGTCTTTTCTCTTCCACAGTTGCTGTTCTTCATTTACCTGTAGGTGTTACATCCAGCCCCTGCCTTCCAACTGCAACTCTGCCAACTTACTCGCTGCGATTTAATAGTGACACAGCATCTTCTATTGTCTTCTTTGTCGACCACTTCCTTCCTGTTCTTTCTTCTACTTTTGCTGACCGTACTTTCTCATCCCTGCTAACATCAGGCGTTGTCTAACCTTGGTCACATTGAATTCCTCAGTGATTGACTAGAGTGGTAGCTGTAGCTTGCTTCATAAACTATATAGGCCCACGCTGCTAAAAGTAAGTGATACTCCAAGCCATCTACGTAGGTAACCGTTTGAAACTCTTTCCATTCCTTCTACCGTTGTCATTGGAACATTATACACAAGAGGTGGCCACAGCAGCCGAGGCAATATCCCATGCAGGTAAATACATGCCTAGTATTTCCTTGGTAATCCGTTCTTATCTACTGCCTTTAACCAGTCGTCCAACTGCTTATATGTATCTTCCACATTCAACTTATCTGACAAGGGGTTGTTGAACCATTTTCCAAAGCACTTAACTGGCTTCTTCTCTGAGACTGTTGACATTACTTCGTCTCCTATTTTAAACCTTTTCCTCCTTAACGTTACCATCCTTTACCACCAAACTTCTGGATTTGCTTGGCTTCTTTTTCATTTTTGCAAAAGGGGATCATCTTATTAAGCTCTTATAGTTTCCATCTGGCTTCAATCACTGTCTTTGTGCTTATTGTCATATCATCAATGAATGCCCTTCCTGGTGGTTGCCATACTCCTGACTTCTTTCATGGCCCTCTGATATTCTTTTCTACTGACTTCACAATAATATTCATTGCTGCTGAGAAAAGGATGACCGATATCTGTCACTATTTCCACTTCTAAACATTGCCTTGATGTAGTATAATCTCGAACTGTAAATCTCAGCTGTAGATGGTTGAAGAATTCTTTTATCAGCTCTCTTGTCCCGTCAGGTATATGGTATATTTCCAGCATTAGCTCAACTAACTTGTGTGGTACTGTCCCATATGCATTCGCTAAATCCAACCAGACGACTGCAAACTCTCTCTTTTAATCTTTCGCTTCTCGGATTATCTGTGATAATACACTCGTGTGTTCAATACAGCCTGATACACCTGGTACACCTCCTTTCTGTACTGCAATGTCAATGTAGTTGTTGCTCAGCATGTAGTTTGTCATCCTTTTGGCAAGAATAGCAAGAAATATTTCTCCTTCCACATTTAACAGTGAGATTTTTCTAAACTGTTTCAGTGTCTCTGACTTTTCTTTCTTTGGAATAAAGCACCCTTTTGCCTTGTGTCAACTTTCTGCAAGTCAACATCCTCTCCATATGACCCTTATCAGTTTTATAGACGTCTTGTAATTCTCTGGCAGTTCTTGTATACTTTATATGGTACTCCATTCGGACTTGGTGCTGATGCTGCTTCTTCTTTTTTTGATAACATTTACTACCTTCTTCAACTTTGGTGGTGATTCATCAAAAGCCTGCTCTGGATCATCCGAGCGTATTAGTTGTTCTATCTTCGGTAGGTCTTCTTCCCTTTTTGCATCATTGTGCGTTACACTTCTACAATGTTCTATTCTTCTTTTTCTAGATGTCTCTGCTCTCCTTGTGATCTTGTGGTTCTTCCTGATGGTGTCCCTGAGTTCAGATAATGCTGGTTTTTCATCCTCTGCTGCCTGACTATATCTTTTTTTAAGTTGCCTTGGTCTTTCCTCATCTTTGCTATCTTGAATTCTCGTCTGTTCTTTTGACCCTCTCGCCTCACCACCTCTTTCTCATCTGCACCATATCTGTCCATACCTATTTTCTAAAAAAAATGATGTCATCGCTTCTATCTTCCTGTCTATGTTACCTGCTAATGTTGTGTTGAAAATTGCATCCACATCCTCATCAAACTGTTGCCATTCCCTTTTGCTTTTATTGTTAGGCCATTTTACTATCTTTCTCCTTATGTTGTCCTTGCTTGTGTCTGGTGTTCTATTTGGCTCTTGTGGCTGCCTGTTGTTATCTAAACTCTCCTGTACCTGTTGATTACTCTCTACTATGCTGTCCTCCTCATTACATTACACATGGATAAACTGACTATTTTGGGAAAAATAATACTTCTTTAAAATATAGATATTGTTGTAATTTCTATATATCTTCTTTTTTATTTTTTTTGTATAGATCTTTGACTGTATTTTTCTACAACTGTAGTTTAAATCTTGTTATGTGATAAATTTTAGTTTCTTTTTTTGTTGTTGCCAACTAACCATTCACCGGTTTCAATGATACTCAAGATATAAGGAATCTAACACGAAAAGAACACCTAGTAAATGAGTATTACATTCAACTGAATGATCTGTTATAATATAGCCTTGATAGCATTTAATTTTACAGTAAATATATATATTGCAAACACACATGATATTCGAATTACGAGAGAATAAAATGACAAAATATTAGAATTCCTGTAAAACAAATATTTATATATATTCCATTGCACTACACGTGCTTATCAAGCTATTTTGTAAACAAAACAGTTAATAAAAATTCATTTAGATGAAGACATAAATATATCCGGATTAATGAAAATTTGTGTACTAACGTAACTAACCATAACATATGCTCTGTATTAATGTTAACGAGGACATCGTAAGATACCTTTAATTTATTTATCTATTTAAGGGACACTAGCTGTCAAATTCATGTTCACCGATTTGACTCAAATTCTCATATTTGATTTATAACATAATAAAACGTATTTCCAAATTACATAAGCCTGAAATAAACAGTTTAGAAAGCATGTACTCGATAATATATATCAGAAATATGTGTGTGTTTTCTAGTCTAAACGACACAGAATTAACTATTGAAATGACCTCAGAATACTGCCAATGGTCACATAACGCGATATAAACATAACAATAAATATAAATAGATTGGTACCTCGTGCAATTGGATTTCTTAAGGTCTGTTTGATTTCATATGTTAAAAAAATGGTTAATTAACGTTTTTACCTGTAGAAGAATGATTTTTTTTGTGGTTTTACTTTTATTTCACTTTCATCGTTGACATTCTTTTCCTTTTAAT